TGAGTGTGGAATGTCTAGGAGGAGACATCCAAGTTGGGATGGGATGTATATGTGTGTGGAGTGAAGCAGTGTGTTTCAGGCTGAAGGAAAGATGGGCAAAGGCGAGGAGATGTGAACCATCGTGGTCAGTCGGGGGAACTAGAAGCAATTCAATATGGTGGGTGTGCAGGACAGGCTGTCGGGGTAGTGAGAGCGAGGCTCGAGGGACCCCTGTGCCATAAGAAGGAGTTTGACTTTTAACCTGACGACTTGGGCTTCTTGAAACTGGGCCTCAAAATCACCTGGGAAGCTTATTAGGAAACAGAGTCCTGGCCTAACTCCAGTTAAGGAATCAGAATCTTCAAGGGTGAGACCTGAGCAACAGCCTTTCGAGCAGAGTCCCAGGAGAGTCTACACAGACACCGGTCAGACTAAACCTTGGGAAATAGTGGGAGGGTTCCAAGCAGGGGAGAGGCAGGCACATGGGAGACCAACACTCTCTTGAGCCTCTGCTGGAAGGAAATTATGAGGGCCCGAGGGGAGGCCCTGGGCAGTGAACAGTGTCCCCAGGAGTTGCTGCCAGTATCAGTTGCCTGAGTGCTCCTCCGACCACGTGCCCCATGACCAGGACAGGAGCGACCAGGAAATTCTGCTTTCCAGCTGGACAAGCTCCTTCAGGCAGTACAGTGGAGGGATGGCAGAGGCGACCCTCCCACCCGTTCCCACCCGACCTGCTCTAACGCAGTGACCTCGAAGGACTATTTCACCCTTTCCCTCTATCCTAAGTGAAACCCTATTTCCACATCCCACAAGGCTCCTTATTCAAGCTGAGTGTTCAGAGCTCACTGGGGGAGGGTGGAGAGGAGGAGTGAGGCTTGTGTTTTCATCCAGGCTAAGGGGAAGGAGGCTTCCTGGGATGGTGGGTTTCCCTAGGTGATTCAAATGGAGGAAAGGGACTACGTGATTGCTATTTACTATATATTCATGTTCCTCCTAGATTTCTCTCCAAAGGTTGGTAATGAAAGTGTCTGATACACAAGGAAATAAGGCAGTTCCCCAGCCCAGAAACGCGCCATGCTCAAGGCTAAGGCCTGAAGCAGACCACCCTCTAGGGACTCCCACCTCAAAGGACGGGGTCCAAACTCCTCACCCCGGGCCTAGAGGCCCTCAACCAGGGGCAGCGCACCCCAGCCCCCAGACTTTCCCAGATTAACTTTTACACTTAACGCTTAAACCAGGCAGTTTCACACCTCAGTGCCTGTGTTTATGCTAATCCCCACCTCCGATGTGCCTCTCCCACCCCTACCCCTCTGTCTGGCTAATTCCTGCTCGTGCTGCAAGACCCAGCTCTCCGTGATACCTCCGGTCCCACCCAACACAAATCTCAATCTTGCTATTCATGTGGACGACCCACACCTCTACGCTATGCTAACCTTGTTGGGACCACTTACACAGTAAGTTTAAGCACCTGCCCCTACTCCACCTTGACCGGAAATTCTTCAAGGGCAGGGTCTGTGGTACTACATTTTGTCTCCCCAGTGCCTGGCACATAGTAGGAGCTCAAGAGATATTTGCTGAACCAAATAGAAACCAGATGAATGAGAAGTGCCCTCAGACATGTGAATGCCTTGATAATTTAAGAGCATTCTAAGGATTTGCTTATTGGTGTTTTTAGGACGGGTGCCTCTGTATAGCTATGACACCCCATCCCCCTGTTAAGTGCAAAATAACAAACTTAATGAGTAAATTGAAGGTGATTATTTGCATCTTAAAAGGTGGAGGGCAGGTGTCCTTTAAATATTAAGCCCTTGCTAGAACTTTCAGAAACTTGCCTTACAGATCATTAACGTCTGGGGGAGAGGTGGGAGCCGGAGGCCTGGAGCTGGAACCTCTAAGAGGCTGAGCTCCAAAGTTGCACCTCTGAAAGGAGGAAGCAAGGCAGAAGGTCTTGGACCCAGACAGAACTGGGTTCAGACTCTGGCTATACTAGCTGTGTGGCCTTGGGCAAGTCCCTTAACCTCTCTGTACCCCGATTTCCGTATTCCTAAAGTGGGGATACACAATACCTACTTTGCAGGGTTGTTGTAAAGATCTAAAAGGTCCTATGTAGAATGCCTTCCCTCATAGGAGGTCCCCAATAATAGTAATAGTATCGTTGTTGGTAGGGTTGACATGGCACATGGAGGGGAAGAAGGAGTCTTGAGGTTTACGGGATTGTACCCGGGCTGGCAGAAGAGGAAGGCAGAAAGGATCCAGAAATGTAAGGGCCAGACCATCAGGGCAACATAATTTGACTATCACAGCACTTCACAATTATTTGTGCTTCTTTAAACGGAATCTTTCCATGTTGAACACGCAGAACGCTGGCAACAGCACTGTACTGTGTGGTTAATGTGAGGGTCTTGGACTTATTAGCTCTGTGACCTTGGGCAGATCACCTAACTCAGTTTCGTCATTTGTAGAAAGGAGACAGTAAACAGTACCCATCTCTTAAGGCTGCAGTGTGAGACAAGGAATGTAAGGCGCTTAACCCAATGCCAGGTGCACAGGGCGCCCTCCATAAATGGTACTAGTTACTGTATTATGAAGTGATCAGTACTAACAAGCACAGAATGGTAAATGCCCTGTTGGAGGAACCGCTTCCTCTGGGAATATGTTAACTGCAAGAGCACTACCCACGACTCTGGAGACCACCTGTCCCAGAGCTGTGTGACCTTGGGCCCGTTCGGTAACACAGTGGGTTTGCCCTAGATAATCTCCCAGGTTCCTAAATTAGCCCAAGGTTAGTCCACCCACAGCTCCCCAAACAGCTGCTCTCAGACCTGGATGCTTTTGCCCTGCCCAGATGCCCCCTTCCCCCTCTTCTGCAGGGTAACTCCTACTCACTTAAGGGCAGGCCTCCTTACCATCCTTCCCTGCCACCCTTCCTGGCTCTGCGCGGCAGTTAACGCACTGCGTGGTCCTTACAGTTGCTAGGTCTGTCATCTAGATGGTGACTAGTGCCTCAGTGCAAATAGAGAGCAACTGCGCTAGAGAGTGAAGCTTGTTGGCAGAAGGAAACGATCAGCACTTTTCCTTTGTAGAGATTTCCGGAACCTCCTGGGTCCTAATTCTCTTACTGTTTCCCGTTTGTAGTGGAAAAATAGGTTTGGAAATAGTTGGGGACCTGTCCCCTCCCTCTGGGCGGAAAGAGAAAGCAAAGCCCCGTTGGTTGGGGCCACAGCTGCTGGTAAAGTCCTTTGCAGCTACTTGATCCCAGGTCTGGAAAAAGTGACAAGGGATCTTCAGGAGTGCCCAGAACCCCCGAGAATCGGTCCCCATTCAAGGCGACTGCCACTGCAGGCACCTGGCTCTCCCCTTAGCGGGACAGGATGAGGGAACTCTCGTCCACTACGGGTCCCCTCGCGCCGCTGGAAAGCGGAAACAAATGACCTTGACCTCCAAGGAGACGGCCCCTCGGAGAGGGCGACTCCTCCGGAAAAGTTGTCTAAACAAAGGGCATTCCTCAGCTTCCACCCAGACAGCCCACAGCCAAGCCTCCTCCCCACGCCCCGGGTGTAGGGTTACACTCCTTCCCGCGAAGCTCTGGGAGAAAGTGGTGTTTCCGCAGCTTTGGCTCGCGTGGAGCCGCGTCCCACGGCCGCGCTCTCCCAGAAGCCTCGGCTGCGGGCGCTCGCCGGGCGGACTGGGCGACCCGGGCCGCGAGAGGTTAGGTCCGGCGGCCCGGAAGGCAGCCCCCGCCCCGTCCGAGTCCCCAGACTTGCGGGCGTGCTCGCCGCTTAGACGTCTGGAGGGCATCGCTCGCCGCCGCCGGGAGGGGCAGCTCCGCAGGGCGCGGGCGGCCGGGACCGGGGCCGCGGCGAGCGCGGAGGGCGGCGGGGCGGGGTGGGGGCCAGGGCCGCTCCTCTAGCCCCTTCCGCCGCCCCTCCTTTCTGCTCTCCCGCTCCCTCTTCCCGTCCCGGCCGGGAAGGCGCCGGGCTTGGCCTCTTTCCCCTTCGTGGCCGAACCATGAGCTAGCAGCCCATGCCGCTTCCTCCCCGCCCGACCCCGCGTCCCCTCCCCGGACCCGGAGGGAGGCCGCGGCCCGCGGGTCGGCTCCTCTGGCCCGCCCCCACTCGGAGCCCCGGGGCGGCCCGCAGAGCCGGGAGCCAAGCCGGGAGCGCCCCGAGGGCCGAGGCCTGCGGGCCGCACTCTCGGAACCCCGGCCGAGCCCGCGCGCCCGGGTCCCCGAATTGGGCCCGGGAGGGAGAGGAGGGGAGAGGAGGCCCCGGCCTCGCCGGGGATGGAAGGGATGGAGGCGGCGGCCCGACCTGCCGGCGGCAGCCTTCAGTGAGTACGGAGGAGGCGAGGCGACGGGCGGGCCGGGGGTGGCAGGACCGCCAGTGGGGAGCGGGAAGGGAGGGTCGCAGGGGAGGCCCGTCTGTCACGTCCGTCTTCATTTCAGCGTCTCCGGCTTAGAGAAGTAACAGCACTTGGGCCGTAGACTTCGGCGGTGCCAAGCTGCACAAGTCGATACCCACTGTTCCGCAGGGGAAGGTCGCATCCTTCCAGGTCTCCGGAGATGGATGGTCTCTGGAATGCTGTTGCCGGGGGCCGCGGCGAGCGCGGAGGGCGGCGGGGCGGGGTGGGGGCCAGGGCCGCTCCTCTAGCCCCTTCCGCCGCCCCTCCTTTCTGCTCTCCCGCTCCCTCTTCCCGTCCCGGCCGGGAAGGCGCCGGGCTTGGCCTCTTTCCCCTTCGTGGCCGAACCATGAGCTAGCAGCCCATGCCGCTTCCTCCCCGCCCGACCCCGCGTCCCCTCCCCGGACCCGGAGGGAGGCCGCGGCCCGCGGGTCGGCTCCTCTGGCCCGCCCCCACTCGGAGCCCCGGGGCGGCCCGCAGAGCCGGGAGCCAAGCCGGGAGCGCCCCGAGGGCCGAGGCCTGCGGGCCGCACTCTCGGAACCCCGGCCGAGCCCGCGCGCCCGGGTCCCCGAATTGGGCCCGGGAGGGAGAGGAGGGGAGAGGAGGCCCCGGCCTCGCCGGGGATGGAAGGGATGGAGGCGGCGGCCCGACCTGCCGGCGGCAGCCTTCAGTGAGTACGGAGGAGGCGAGGCGACGGGCGGGCCGGGGGTGGCAGGACCGCCAGTGGGGAGCGGGAAGGGAGGGTCGCAGGGGAGGCCCGTCTGTCACGTCCGTCTTCATTTCAGCGTCTCCGGCTTAGAGAAGTAACAGCACTTGGGCCGTAGACTTCGGCGGTGCCAAGCTGCACAAGTCGATACCCACTGTTCCGCAGGGGAAGGTCGCATCCTTCCAGGTCTCCGGAGATGGATGGTCTCTGGAATGCTGTTCGAGTTAGCCCGAAAGTTCTTGTAATGTGACTGAAATTGCTCCCATTACCGTCACATCCCCTGCTTTCTGGATTGATCCTTAGAAGAAAGGAACGGCTGGCCGGGCTGCCAAGACAAAGCTGGTAACTTCTAGGTTAACTGGTGTAGTAAATGATCTCTTCCTCCCAAAGATAGGCCTTAAACTTCACAGGCTTAAAACTGAGGTAACATACACACTGTGTGTGTATTTTGCTTGGTGAAATATGTGTATTCTTGAAACGTAAAAATTGAATTGTAGTAAGTGACTATAGAGGGACTTGGCATTTGAGAGAATTCTGTGGTGAATCGTTGGTCAATATATGAGGTGAATAACTTCTTGTTTGTAATTTGTGTCAATATGGATGCATGTATTTATGTAAATACATGCAGTTTACTTCAAGTGGGACATATCTAGATGTATGATGGAGACGAAGCATGTTCTCAGAGAGCAGGATAAATTTTCAGACATTGTGGCATGTATGTGTGCACAGAACAACTTGGTGAGTAAAATCTCGTGCTCACTTTTGTTCCCTCTGAAGACATTGACATCAACTGTGCCACCAAGGGGCTGTGTAATTTGGGCAAGTCACTTAACCTGTCTAGACCAATATTCTTATAGGAGTAGGGGAATGGGGGTACACGGTCACTGAGTGCTTTGGAAGAGCCCTGGCCTTGGGAGGAGAAGCTCTGTGTTCCCAACCGGGCCTCCCTTAACTCCCGTGTCACCTAAATCTCTCTGTGCCTCAGTTTCTCTGTCTGTAAAAATGAGGATAATAATCCTGTTCCGGCAGAACTGCGTGAGGATTATTTGCGAGAGCATGTTTGAAAGTGCTTGCAGGCCTGCCTGGCACAGAGCAGATGTTGATAGGCATTGGTGCCTGATCCTGGCCGCCCTGTGGGCACAGCCCCTTGCTGCGCTCCTGTAGTTTGAGCAGAGGGGGCCCCTTCTGCCAGAGGGTCAGATCCTGGGTGGTGTCTTCCTGAAGTCCATCCTCTGCATTGGCTCCCCTTGGAAAGGGAAGAGCTTGTTGGCCCTTAGCAGATGTTGCCATCCTCCTCTGAGGCCTGACACCTATCAGGAAGGCAAGAGCCCAGGGATTGGGAAATCTGGCCCCCATTTTCACTCTGGTCCACATTGGGCAGAAGATTGGTTGTTGTTTGACTCTCCACTGTGCCCCACATGTAAAATGGGGGTAGAAAAACGAGAACACTACTTAGACTTGGAAGAAAAAACTCAGTAATAACTTATGTGTACCGTCCAATGATTTGTACTCTTTGAGGTGCTTTCACATTGTCTAGGGGGCATCCCCTGCTCTGACCCCAAGTTATTTTTCTCTGGACAGGGCTTTATCCCAAGGCACTTTGGGGACCCAGGAGATTGTTGGAGCTAGCCAGGTGCTGGGTCTAAGGAGCTCTGTCTGTTTTCTCCTCCAGAGGACCCAAAATAGAGAGCAGAACAGCCAGCTCCATGGAGGTGACCTCAACTGTGGAGAGAAGTGGCCCTGAGCCACAGCCAGAGAATGGACACCTCCCAAGATACTGGCCCTGTTCTCGAGAAGACAGAACACCCAGCCTGATGGCCCCCCAGCCTCCTGGGGCACAGGGGATACAGGTCCAAGGCCCCTCTGTGCTGGAGTCCAAGGTGAGGGCCTTGAAGGAGAAGATGACAGCAGGCAAACAGGGGGCAAGCCCCTGCCTCACTTCTTACGAGTGGCCATCCCTCAAGAAACCCAAGTGCAGACGAGTCAAGGTGGGTGGAACCAGGACTCCATCACAGGGGTCTTCCCTACCTGATGCCTTGGTGGTCCATCATGCTCAGAATCCAAACGATGGGTTGCTGGATAGCAGCGTCACTGAGGTGGAGTCCACCAGGAACAGGGCTCCTGGGCCTCCCAGGTCGCCTGCCTCTGGGCTCCAGAGCTGGAACAGGAGGAGCCCGTGGCCTCCAGAAGCAGTACGGACACTGCCTGACCACGACAGGGCTGTGCCGCCAGGGCCCAGCTCTTTGCAAGAGAGCCCCATGCACAGAGTCACTCCAAGCCAGCCTGAGGGCTCTGGTCCTTGTAACAAAATCACCCACAGGCCCAGCCTGAGGAAAGGAAGGTCATACCCCCTGCAGGATGGTCTCGTCACACAGGAAGACCTGGACAGCTTGTCTCTGACGTCCGAAGAGGACTTCGTCCCCAGGCCAGCCCTGCTGGGGGAGCTCTGGAGAACTGGAGACCTGGGGGCCCTGGGCACCGGGGGCAGCACCTTGTCCCTGTCTGACCGTGTGGAGAGGAACCGCCTTCTGCTGCAGGAGATGCTAAGTGTTGGGGGGCAGGGCCCCTCCAAGGTGGGAAGCCCAGCCTGGACTTCATCCCGGGACAGAGCTGTGCCAGGTAAGGCCCACTCTGTGGGTGTGGTGGTGGAGGCACAGGAGGGAGTCCAGGAGAAGGAAAGGAGGAAGGGGGTTACCACGGAAGGGTGGGGCAGGAAAGGGGGAGAGCACGGCTGGCTGTCACCAAATTCATCAGGATGTCCGCTTAGTCTTGGCTTTGACAGAGATTCTTTACCACCTCAGCTCCATCTGCTAAAGTCCCCCCAGATCCCCCAGACCGATGGGAGGCCATCCTCTATCCTTGGGGTGGAGGCTACCACAGTCTCTTCCCTGTGGCTTGTAGCTCTTTCTAGAGTAGCTTTTTGCACCTCCCTCAGATGACACATCCTCACCCCACAGTGGACCTCACTGTGCTCTTGGTAGGAGCCATTCTCCACAAACAGGGTTAGCGTCCTGTCAGTCTGAGCTCAGCGTTCAGCCCTCGGAGGCAGCTTTTTCCCTTCCTTCTTCCCTCACCCAGTGCCTGAGGGGACCCTGGGGCATCCCTCAGCTCATGCATGACAGTGCCCACCAGCAGTCACCATGACAGGCTATGCCTCCGCCTCGGGGGTCGGAGTCATCTGGGAAGTAAATGGCTTCTGGAGAAAACTTTCTCCTCCATGTTTCTCAAGTGGCAGCTGAGAGCCCAGTTTCTGGCTCTGCCCTGATCTCTGCTTCTGTTCTGGGTCCTAGAGCGACTAGCAGGGGACGTGGACTGGGACTCCGGCATCTCCCTGCAGGACGCTGACCAGAGCAGGTAAGAGCTCAGAGCGCACATCTTCTGTCTCTCCCTCCCTCCCGGCAGTTGTCCCTGTACCTTCATTTACACAGCATCAGGAGAGCAGGAGACCTCGAGAGAGAGCGAGAGGGCAGGCAAACCCTGCAGCACAGGTGGCCATGGCTCCTCCCGGAGACCTCTTAGAAGGCACCAGCCACCCTCGTGGCCCAGGCTGTGCCCCTGCTACTTGTGCAAAACCATGGGGCGCGGAGCACAGTGAAGAGAACTTTGCAAACAACCTGCTCTGCGACTTGGAACTCATTTCCCTGCCCCAGCCTCTGTCTCTTTATATTTAAAGTGGGCCAAATAATACTTGTGTGATGTATTGATACTTCTCAGGACTGTTGTGAGGCTGAACACAAGATAATGGATGTGAAAATCCTTAGGGAAAATATCCGAATGCAAGGCTTTTACTCCACCAGTTCCTTTCCCAGTCAAGGGGTGTGTTGGGTTGTGTAAAGGCCTTCACTGCCCCCAGCCTCCCTGACTTTGCTCTAGTCCCTCCACGAATGTCTCTGGGAAGCTGGGCCTGGGATGGGGCTGGGGCAGTGTCCCGACCAGGCAGGTGAGAAGACTACCCTCCGGGCGGGGTGAGGAGCCATCTGTGGGCCTGAGCTGGCGGCTGCCCAGGCCTCGGCCTCCTCCTCAGTCTTTGCTGCACACCTGGCACGTGAAGCTGGTTTCTGCTGAGGGCAGAGGTCAGCAGTGTCACTTCTCCATTGTTAGGCCCCTCCCTGCCTGATAAATTCCACTTATTGACCTCCCTCCCCTTCAGAACATGTGGACAGGGCCCCCCAGTCCTGCTTTCACAAAGCGAGGGCTGCCCAGGTTCAGGGGGTTCAACCTCTGCCTGGCCACTGGCCTTCTCAGTGGCGTCGGCTGAGGGCCTGGCGGAGAGGGGGCTCTCTGTCTCCTTCCTCCCTCGTTATTTATAATTTGGAGTTGTGCCTGCCCCCCTCCTGCCAGGGGTCTCTTCCCACCTCCACGGCCGCCGCGGTCAGCCTCTCCTCATATCCCCTCCTAGCCCGGCCGCGATATGGAGGGGTGTGACTGTGGTCCTCAGCGACACCCTGGCCCCCGCCCTGTCCCCTCGTCCTTCCCTGGGGGGCCGTAAAGGATGCAGTCTGGGCCCACAGACCTTGTGCCCAGAGGAGGTGGGGCCTCTTCTTCTGCAGCTGCTCCTCCCCCGCCACTCCC